ATGAATAAATTATTGAGAATTTGTTACATCATTTAATTTTGTAAAAGCACTTTGAATAAATATTTAACAAATAGTTTTAAACGATCTTTACTTTATTCCCTATTGCATTCAACATATTTATCTCAAATGATTCTCTGAATATTTCTCAGTAAGTGCAGCAAATGAGCAAGGTGCAATTGATCTTGACGTTTTACCACTAAAGTTCAAAGAAAAAAAAAAAACTTAATTTATGTAAAGGCTTACTTTGAACAAATTAATAGGTTTTTGTAGATTTTTAGTAGATTATGACAAGTTCAATACTGTTTATTTCGATTATTATTATTATTTAAAAAAAAAAATTTTTCAAAAGGCAGCAAAGTATCACGTTAACTCGTTCGCCACACATATGAATTGATCGACAAAGGAGTTCTTTTTCTAGATTCGATTTCCAAATTTGGTAATAAACCTACTGCATTAGTTATTCTAAAAAAGGGTTGATTGATGCTAAATTATGGTATTTCAGCCCCTCAAATATTTTAGGGTTTCTTTATCATAATTCTACCCAATTGTCATTTCTAGACTTTCTAGTTCACGTTCAACAAATTTAGCGTAAGAGAGCCATCAGAAGGTTGCCGTTAACAAATAAAAAGGAAAATTCCAAAACGATCAACAACTGAAAATAAAATCCCACATCCCAACCAATTAATGAATTCATTAGCCAATTCTCAAGCTATTAATTAAGCAACAGAGGAATAATATAGTGGAATGGGAAGGATAAATTAAATCAAAATAGTTTTAAAATATATAAACAATTTGAATAGAGGTTTATTATATATGACTATGCATAATTTGGTATTTGACCGTTAACTTATTTTGGCAACTAGTTGAATCACCAATCAATAGTGCTTGTAATTTTATTATTTTTATGTCATAATTTACATTTCTATATAAATCGTCAAATATTGAAAACAACCTTTATAATTTTTATTTTTCACTTTAATCTCATTATTCATCTTATTATTATTGTTCGCATTATTTTTAACCAGGTCCAACCTAATAATAAAGTTAGAAATAATTTTAGTATTTTTTTTGTTTAAAGATGGGTAACAAATAATAAATGATATTACTTTTGGAATATCATAATGTTCTGTCATCTCGTCGAGCTTACGATTAAATTCCTAAGTAAAAGAAATATTTATTTATTTATTCAAATAACAAAATATATATCATAAATAAATAAATAAATTTAATTAATTAATTACCGCTACTCTATCTTTATGTGATTTACGTGCTGCCTTTTGAACCCTTTCTTCAAACTAAAGAAAAGCATAATTAATATATACATTCTTAAGAGACGAGAAAATCATAGTAAATGGCTCATATATAAGAAAGTACCCTTTTTCTTTGAATTTCTTCGAATTTTTTTTCTGCTTCTGTTTTTTCTATAACTCTAACCGGTTTGGTTTTTTCTTCTTCTAAAATCTCTTTAGCTAATGTAACCAGTTTATCTTTATCTTTCTGAGATTTCTTTTTCTTCTTTCTAACAAAAATCCAGAAAATTTATTAAATAAAAAATTAGATTTTGTAAATGTTTTCAATTCAATAAATAAAGAATGGTTTTTATTACTTTATTTTACTTGTAGAGTTTCCTCCTTTGAGCTTTAAAGTACCACCGGGTGCGTGATCGTAGTCAGACATGATTTTGTTGGTTTTTTACTTATTTAAAGAATGTGTGAAAAAGAGTTAAAAAAAACAATGTATAAAAATAATTTCGGTGATCATTTATTTTTTCAAATATAAAATAATGGCAACCTTTTCTTTTTGTGAACAATGGTTAGCAAACTTTATTATTTATTTATTAATACCTTGAACAATAATGATGGTAATAATAATTTCTACTACCTCCACCACTCTATAACAACAGTAACAACTTATTATACCCAAAAGAAGATAGAGAAAATGCCAAGCTTACATATGCATGTCGTAATTGTATTTATCAAAGCGAAACTTCAAATAATTGTGTTTACAGGAATGACATTCAACATCCTATAAAGTTAGTATTTGTTTAGTGTGTTGGTCGACCTGACAATCAATCTTAAACAATCTTTCAATCAATTTTAAACAAACACAATTTTTTTGAAAAAAAATAGTGAAGCAAACATAGTTATAAGAGATTTAGCAGCTGATCCAACATTGGTAGGTAAATAAATGTTTAAATCTTCTAATCCAAACTTAATCTTGTTGATTATTATATCTTATTAAAAAACCCCCTTTCTTTTCTTACACATACACACGCACACATATAAAAGCCACGTACTACTGAAAAAAGATGTAAACAATGTGGATGTGATTTAGCTGTATACTTTCAATCACAATCTCGTCGTCCTGACACAAAAATGACATTGTTTTATGTATGTGCAAACACAAATTGTGGTTTTCTTTGGACAGATTTTGATCCAAAAAGTAAAAAGAAAGAAGTGCCTCTTGATGATGATGGTGGTGATGGTATCGGCGATGAAGATGAATATGGCGAATATGGAGAATATGAAGACGTTGGTGTTGATCATAGTAATATTGAACAACAAGATGTTATTAACGAGAATTTTTTTGGTGATGATGATGATGTCGCTGATGATGTTGACGTTGATGATCTGCTTGGTGATGAAGTTGTTTCCATCACCACCGCAATTAATAATGGTAATGATGATGAAATTATTCAAGAGGATTGGAGAAATGGAGTGGTGTATTCTGAAAATTATGAAAATCCAAATCCTCCGGGTAAAAATTTTTATTTATTAGTATTATTTCATCAGAATTAAAAAATTTAATGTGATTTTTTTTATTGATTTAATTAATTTATATATTTCAGACCCAATAGTAAATAGTGTAGAAAATATTAAAGTTGAACAACCAACTCAAAACACTCACAAGGATGAAGATTGGTGATTCCCTATATATGTAAGAATAAGTCCTTTTAATATTTTCATTTTGAAAAATGAAAATAAAAATTATTTTAATGCTTATACTTCATATTATTAAAAATTTTAGTTCGTAAAATAATCATCATTATAATTGTTTTTTGTACTAGTGAGTATTTATGTTTTTGGTTTGTTTTACCAAATTTTGTCACATCTGCATCATATTTTGTATTTTGGCAAACAAATAATTAAAATTAAATATCAAAAACTTCTTTTTTTTCTTGCGAAACTTTTATTTTTCAATATATAAATAAATAATTAATTAATTCTATGCATATTTATATATAAAATTTTTTTAAAAAATAAATTTTCTATAAATAAAAATATTGAAATGATTGATAATAATAAAAAAATTTATATTTATGGTTAATGTTACTGCTACCGTACTCTTATGATTACCATTAATATCATTATAAAAAAGAAAACTTTAAAGCTCGTAATTTATTTATAAATAAATAAAATAAATAAATAAGCACTTGAATTTTTTGTTAATGATACTATTATGACTATGTATACTACGATTATGGCTATGGTTATCTATTTCGATTGTGTGGTTGTGATGTTTATTATACGATTACAGTGATTATAATTATTCAAAGTGAATCAGAAATTTCTTTTTCTAGTATTTCATGTCTAATATTAAAAGCTTGATTGATAATCTAATAAAAAATTCAATTAATAGAAAAATGTAAGCAATCAATTAAAATTAAAATATTTAATAATAATAAATATTTAAATGTTATTATTTACTTGTCCCATATCCATTGATGGCAATCTTAACAATAAAGTTCTAATTTCCGACTGTTCTAATTCTTCAAGATATTCTTTATTATGTTTTAATACAGCTAAAATATAAAATAGATGGTAATATTAATATGAATTGGAAACAACAATAATATTATTAGTGTTATTAGTGTTATTACGATATCGTTACCTAAACATACATAGGAATGGAATTCAATTGGATCATCAATTGAAAAATAAGTATCTATAAAAAAAACCCCGAAATTTTTTAATAATTAATAAGTGATTATTAATTAATAAACAAATAATTGGTTTTACCCCAAAGACGTAATAAATTATCAAATTGAAGTTCTTTAGCTAACAAATATTGTAACCATGAAGATGACCAATCATTAATATCAACTTCTTCCTCTTCGAAATAATTACATCTAAGAAAAAATAGATTGACTGATTAATTAATTTGCTAAATCAGTTGGAATTGATCAAACAACAACATTAATTAAAAACCTTACAGGTCAGGTATTATTGATCTAAATAATGTCATAAAATTGGCAACTCTTTCATTTATATTATGAGTTGAATTGTATTCATCTAAATAAGAATTAATTGAAGATCCATCTATGAATAAGATGACTAATCGAGCATTTTTGCATGAAAATTTTTGTTCCACTACATAAATTTGTTTATATAGTTTCACACGGATTATCAATAAAAATATTATTACCTAATGTTCCCATTAATCTTTCGAAACAATAGTAAACCTCGGCTTCGTTTCTAATGCAGTAAACAAACGGACCACATAAATGTATAAGTGCCGGGTAATATTCTATATCTCTATTATGATTCAAGTAAGCTCCAATCACATTTTCAAATATATTAGATGCATAATCGTTATTCATATTATCATTATTATCACTTATTATAACATTATTACTACTGTTACTATTAACTATACTTTTACTATGGTTATTATTTCCGTTAATTATTTTATTGTTGTTACTGTTGCTGACATTGATATTACTGTTATTTATATTACAATTATTATTATGATGATGATGATTATTGTTATTGCTGTTACTATTGTTACCACTATTACTATTGTTATTATTATTATTATGACATTTGTTATTATTATTGATATTGATGAATTTTTTATTAATTTTACTTTTTTGATATCTACTAACTTCTCCACGAATTCTTGTTATCTCAAAGTTTTCTTTATCTATAGCTGAATATTCTTGATATTTTGCTTTAGTACTTGTTAATTCCTGCGCTATCATTTATTAAATAAAGCATTAATTTATTTAATTAAATATATATATAAAAATATGTATGTGTATATGAGAGTCTTTAGCTTACATCTATCAGCAGGATTTACTTCGAGTAAATACTTCCATACTGCCTTTTTTTTTCGATCGTTAAATTTCGATTAGTTAAAAGAATCTTTAAATCTACTAACCAAAATCAAGAAATCAATCAATCAATTGAAATTACTTACTCCACGTACTTCCTTTGGAATACCACGACGAGAAAGCTCTCTTAATTTATCAAGATCAATATAGACTTCTGCATTTAATATATCTTTAATTTCATCAACGATAGTTGTTGAACCCATCATTAAATTATTTTGATTCTTCGTCCTATAATAATTAATAGGATATCGAACTGGGTTTGAAACCTTAAGCATATATGAAATCTTTTTTTTTGGTTTACTTGATCTTATTTCCAAAAAAAAAGTGTGTGAAAGACAGAAAGGAAGAGAAAGAAAGGAAACCAATAATATATATTATATAAAAATTTTGATTGATCAATTGATTGATTGATTAATTGATTAATTAAAAAAATTTTATATACAATCTATTATTAATGCTTGCTACTATTATTATTGTAAATATTATTATTTAATTTTTTGCTTAATTGAAAAAGTATGATTGTGAAGATTGAATGCGATAGTGAATGTAGTAACAGCAGTAACAATAGTGTTGTGATAATGGGTGATTATGTTGATGAGGTAGAAGAAAAAGAAAAAGAAAAAGGAAGGAAAGGGGAAAGATAAAATATGCGATTTGCAAAAGGTTACAAATTATAAAACATTCTTGTATATACTGTGAAAAATAAAAAATAAAAAAATGAATAATTAAATAATTTTTTAATTTTTTAGTTAAGATCAAAAATTAAATATTTTTTTTTTGTAAATAAATATTGATTTATTAAGATTATTAAGATTATTAAAAGGATTAAATATTTAAATAAATAATTTATCAATCAAATAATATTTTATTTGTTTTTTTTGGTAAACTTTAAATAAATTACAAAATAAGAAAAGTCTAAAATTTTTTTCACGATAATAATAAATATCTTTGCTCCAATTTGTTCTTGATGTTTTTCATTTTCATTTTCACGCTCTCATTCATTTTATCTAAGAAAAAAAATTTAATTTATGTAAATTTATGTAAATTTATGTAGCAAAATGTATAAAAAAAATAATTGCCATCATCGTAAATTTTATTATTGTTGATAATACAGTATAAATCTCTATAAATACTTTTTGCGTCACCCGCGTGATTCCAGGTGATGAATTGTGATCATTCATCTTTTTTTTTTAGGTTTTCTTAACCTTTATAATAATTAGGATAACAATAAAAATGGTGTGTGGCTTTTTCAAAATTATAAGTAACTGTTATTTATATTAATTCTTTTTTAATTAAATTTACGTTTCCAAATGTGGTAATTACGTGTATATCTTACCGTATTTGACAAGTCATAGGCTTGAATAATTTTTAATTCATTTTACCCATTACATAATAAAAATTTGATGTCTAACTAGATTTGACAGCGAAAAGATGAACATACAGAATACTTGTATCTCATTATGTTTAAAAGAATGTGTTGTTATGGATATCGTCACAAATCGATCGATTATTAATATAGCTATATAAATGTGCACAAATAACTTTGATTTATTGTTTTAAAATTACAATTTATTGAATAAATAAATGTTAAAATGCTAATGATCCAAATCCTTTTGCCATTTTTTTAGAATGTGCGTTTCTTCGATTGTGATTCCCATATTTTCCTTTATTTCCACTTTTTTGATTTTCTTGCCCGGCTGATGATGATGATGATGACGACTCATTATTTTCAGCATTAGAATTGTGGCGATTTTGATTAAATTTACCTCTGAAATTTTTTGATGATGAGTTTAATTGCTCTTGCTCTCCACTCCACTCATATTTCGCAAGTAATTTATCTTTTCTTGGCTAATAATTAAATATTTTTTAAAATTATTATTATATTTTAACACAGAATATAATAATATTGTAATAATTATTTTGATGAATGATCTTACATTTCGTTGAAACATTATATACCATCCTTCTATTTGTTCATCTGTCATCTGTGTGATTTTTTTAAGGTGCTCACGGTTACGTGATTTTCTTGATTCTTTTGTTCTCTCAAATACAGAAGGATCAGATTGAAAGGCCTTAATAAATTCGCTTTCACAAATGATGGCTGGATCGAGCTATTTTACGCATATGTATATATATTTATATTAAAAAAAATCAAGTAAAATCACTACTACTGCCACAACCAGCGTCACTATAGATAATACTAACCTTAGATTTCTCTTCTCTTTCAGCATCTGCTTCTTCATCAAATTCATCAACCATATGTAAATTAAAACCTCCCATTTTCAGACCACTTGAATCATATGTATCATCATATTCATCTTCATATAACATATTATTTGCCGAATTAATTATAAAGTTTTTATGGCTCTCAATAAAAGATTTATCATCCAGTATCGTTTCGGCTGTAACATTCCTTTAATTCAAATTAAAAAAAAAATTTATATACATACATATACGTATATAAAAGAATTCCCTTGATAAAAAATAAACCAAAAATTTTTTTCTCATACATTTTCTTTCCTTGTCTAACGTGGCTTGGATCAAGTTCTTTACCAGAGAACACATCAAATTCATCATTATCAAAAATATTTTGTCGTTTGCCAACTAGATTTTCTTCTTAAAAAAAAATAATCATTTTAATTTATATAATCATATTATAAGTAAATACATATACGTTGAAAAATTTACCTTGTGAACTTATATTTATTGATTCAATAGAATTATCATCAGATTCTACACTGTTTATACATATTGTAATTATTCAATTAATATAAATTCAAATATATAATAAACACACACATACACATATAAATATATAAACTTACAGATTTAATGTTCTATCCAGTTTCTTCAATTGATCATCCAATGAATCTTGACATATATGATTAATAACAGTTTCAATATTACCATCATAAAATTTCAAACATTCATTGATAAATCCTTGTCCTAAATCTGGTAAAATTTCCTGAACTTGTAATATCAATGTCATTTGATCATGCTCAATTTCTTTATTTATTTTAATCTAATATATAATATATAAAAATTAGATATTTCATTCTTTCTAAAAAAAAAGATTATGCTAAAATAATATTGACCTTGTCAGTTTCCACAAAATTATTTATTTTAGATGATTGTCCATCTCTGTTAAATGAATTTATATTACTTATATCTTGTGAATGTTGTTTCAGCTTTTCTTCCAATTTTAATCTCCAAGGTATCCTTTCAGAGTCTTGATTCATATTTCTTAATTCTTCCAAAAACCTATTTATATAATCTATTTGAACATCGTCAGTAATATATAGAGTTAAATATATAATATATATGTCTATTTATATAGATGTATTTATGTATGATAATGTATGAGAAAAAAAGGATATCCATTAAGAATTTCATTTTTTATAAGAGTCAATTTTCCGCTTAAATCAAATTCAATTTCCAAATCCAAAAGTAAAGGCGCATCAACAAATGCTTCAAATGGTTTTTCTATTTGCGTAGATTCTACAATATACAATAATGTACTGTTCATGATATCAATTGTTCTTTCAATGACTTTTTCTTCTTCTTTTCCTTCTTCGCTATTTGATTTTTCAACAACATCTATACGTCTTTCAAAAGATAAAATATCATTTTCATTACTTGTATAACCTATAGAACTAAAATATGATGCATCAATAATACGATATACCATTGAAACTATCGAATATTTTAATATGCTCAAATTCCTGGAGGTTTCATAATCTTCATTTTTTAACACTTCTTTCATTATCGGAATTGCTTCATCATAAAACTTTATCATTATTAATAAAAAATTTTGATCTGAATCTGTGCTTTCATTAAATATTTTAGCAATCTTTTTAGAAATGCTAAACAAACAATCCAATGTGATCGATATGTCTATCATAAATGCTAAATATGTTTTCTCTTCTTCCAACGGTTCATTTTGGTTCTTTCCAAATTTATCCTCAATAGCATTTACATATTTTATTATAATAACTGGAAGTTTCTCAAGATCTTGTATCAATTCTGGCACAAAATTAATTATATTTTCAAATATTTTTTTTGTATAGTTAGGATTTGATTTTCCATAAGTTGAAACCAAATCAAGCAAAAACCCATCGGTAATCAATTGTTCTCGATACAAAGCTTTTGCTAATTTAGACGACGACGAGGAGGACGAGGACGACGGTGATTTATTGATAATTTCAAAAGCTAAATTGGTAGGTTCAGATAGACGTAATAATACCATTAAAACTTTTTTGTCCAAATCTATTTCTAATTGTTGAACATTTTCTCCAAAATCAGGCCTGTTGTTTTTGTTAGAAGTTTTTTTACGAAGTGCAAAAAAAGTTTTCAAAAACTTTTGTAAACTCTTGTTACTTAATAATGCTTCAACAAATTCCGAAGCAGAAGCTTTAAGAAGTAGCGAAAGTCCTACCCCCCAAGCGGTAAGTGCCTTGTTCCAATCGTTTGACGACAATTCGGGGGAATAGCTTACATAAGGAGGGAATGAAAATTCTTCAATTTTCATTTTTGTTTGAATTATTAATTCATCGAAGAATATGTGATCACTATTACCATCACTGTAATACGTGTAACGTACTGCGCACAATGATTTTTTGCTGCACCTCAAATTTCCGTGATTTCTGTGATATTCACAAAAAAATGGTCACATTACAGAATTTAATAAAGTTGGACAATTAAAATGCAAGACAATTAGTAAAAATCATTAAATCTACCCCATTTTTACACTGTAGTATATTTAAAATTATCGATTTACTCATTTTTTTACATGCCAGTTAATCAAATTTTATTTACATTTATAACCAAATAGAAAGCATTCTTATTTAGCCAATACATTGAATTAAGAATTTCGGAATTAGTTAAATTCGGCCAAAAGAGCGTCCAAATCTAATTCCGGTAATAGTAATATTTTTATTATGGATATATGGGACGTAAAGTTATGTGATGAAAAATTTTTTACGTATAAATAAGGAAATTTTGCCCCGATCTGCAATATGTACGTGTTTGTCGATCAAACAACAAATTTAATTCTTTCTTGAAAACAAGAAAATGAACAGGTAGAAGTTTCTGGGTAAGTGTTTATTGTAAGAATGGTGGTTGTTGCCACTTGTCATCACTTTAGTTTATTTTAAATATAACTTACTTATATATGGGGCATACTGCAACAAAACCAGACAAAGTGAACATTTGTATATATTACCAAAATTTCAGGGGTCAAAATTTAGTAATGTGATTATTATTAAAATCCTCCATTTGTTACCCTCTTAATATAAGGTGATATATAGAATTACCTCTATATAAAAATAGTTAATATGAAGTTAATTTGCATCAGATCTACTATGGAACCAAAGAATTACAGCACCATTAGAAGTATTTTGAAGAAGGAACAAGGTGAAAAAATTGCACCTTATATTTTTAAATTAGCAGATACTAAATCCTTGCAAAGATAAAGAAAGGATTACCTATGAAATTTACCAAGAAAGAAAAATAATAAACACTAAGAAAAGAACATTAACACAGAACCACAAAGAACCCAGAAAGAAAAGAGAAATAATTTGCTGTCTAATTTTAAAATAATATAATGAATGTATTATCTTTTAAAGATTAAAGATAGTCTTTACCGGCAAAAGCCTTTTCACTTCCAGTAATTACAATTGCTCTAATTTCCCGGGTCACTATCATAATTTTACAATGCATCATTAACATCATTAAATAAATCACTTGATAAAGCATTCAATTGCCTTGGCCGATTCAATGTAATCAATCCAACTGTTCCATGACTTTCTGTTAATATATTATGGTAATGATGAATTGAATCTCCTGATCTACCTATATCATATTATTATATTTATTAATAATAATATAATCGTGTATGTATATATATGTATGTATGTATGTATTTTTAATGTAAAGTAAATAAAAATTGGATTTTTTTTACCAAAAGAATTATTTATTAATCTTTTATTTAATGAGCGTAAAACCAAAGAAAACATTTTCTTTTTCCTTCAATTAAATTTAACTATAAATAAGATTAAATAATTAAATAAAAAAATTAAAAAAAAACTTAACTGAATCAGCATAATCAACATCCAAAGTTTTCAATTATATATATTCATAACCATTCATATATACACATACACATACACATACACATACACATATTCAAAATAAACAATTGAATTAATAATTACCCGGAAGCAGCAAAATCTGAAATTTAGTATTATCCAATCCATTAATCTGCTAACCTAGAAATCTATTAACCAAGAAAACCAACACCTTTCCGAAACTTAGTATTAGCCAATCCGGTAATCCGCTAATCCAGAAATCCAGTAATCAAGAAAACCGGTACAGGAACAGGAACGCACGTACTCTGGAACGCTGGTACTCTGGAACTCTGGAACGCTCGTACTCTGGAACGCTCGTACTCTGGAACTCTCGTACTCTGGGACACTCGTACTCTGGGACGCTCGTACTCTCGACTCTGGGACTCAGGAACTCAGGTACACTGGAATACAAGAACGCTAGTACCATTGGTACATTGGAACCTTGAAACGCTCATACTCAGGAACTCAGGTGCTCTGGACACTGGTACCCTGGAACACTGGTACCCTGGAACACTGGTACCCTGGAACACTGGTACCCTGGGACACTGGTACCCTGGGACTCTGGAACTCTCGTACTCTGGAACTCTCGTACACTGGAACACTGTCCTGACCGCTGGAAGCACTAAAATACTAGAAGTCGTCTGTCCTCCAATAGCTCCTAAGTTCTATCATCCAAATTGAAACAGATAATAAATATAAAAAAAAATTCATGTTAGAATCCGTAAAATTTTGGTTGGTATATATTTATATGTGTATGTGCGTGTGTATGTGCGTGTGTATGTAAGAATGTATGTATGTCTATATATTTGAAAACTTTTTTTTCAAGTCCCTTCGAATTTTTCTATTAAAATATAAGATTATATAGGTGTAATGTGTAGGTGTAGGAATATTTTTCTTTAAATCCAAATTTTTTTTTAGAAGATTGTTGGTTATTTGTAAGTATTACGCGTGGCTCAAAATCCAAACACTCTTTGTTAGAATGAGATGTATTTGTTTGTATATTTTGTTTGTGAAGAAATTTTCGTTACTACTTATAATTTTAAGTATTACGCGTCCAAAATGATGTTTTTAAGAAAAATGGTTAAGTTCATTGGTTTGAAATAAAAACTTATTGAGGAAATCACAAGTTTTAATGTGAATTCCTCGTTATTTCTTACTTTTTTTGGCTAAATTTCATGATATCATTAATAATTATGATAAACCTGAAACAGATCACAAAAACAACTATTTCATTGGCCAAATTTTATTTCTACCATTATAAAATAAAAAAATCACGGCCATTAAGTATTATAATAAATTTTTATTTTATTAATAAATAATATACAAAAAAAGGGCTTAATAATATTTTTGGAAAAAATGCAATGTTGCACGCACATATCAACAAAAAAAATGAAAGATGTATATAACTTTGTAGAGAAAGGTCTTAGTGTTAGCTTCAAAATTACATCTTGATTTTTTCTTTTCTTTTTTCTATTTTAAGTCACATTGTCACACTTGATCTCCAACAGTCTTACTATTATTAGGTTCATTATTATTATGCTGTAGTACCAAGTTGGTGTAACAAAAAATTTGTAATAATCCAAGGTATATATAATATTATTAATATTAATGTAATCTTTTTTTTATACTCTACAAATAATTTTTAAAATTTGAAAATGGTATTTATATTAATAAAAATAATAATTTTTGTTAACTCCAATTGTAAACACTAAAGACTTTAATTATTTTAACAGGGAGTTGAAATTCAAACAATTAAAGTTTGTAATCATTTCAATATGTTCAAATGAAATGCTGCAATAAATTAATAAATTATTTTTTTCTCTTAAATAACCTCAGGAAGGTGATGGAAAGGTTTGTAATTTTATAATATTATCAAAAAAAAAAAAAATACAACTAATTATTTTTATCGATTAAATTGTCCTTTTTTTTTTAATGTCAATTAATTATTTATTTTTTGTTAGAATCCAAGAGCGGTATTTAATTTAAGAATCAATTTCTTCATTTTTAATTGCACTATATTGATGTATCATTTTTTACTTTATTATTCAGGGGTCCACTGTTGTGATTGAATGTAAAATTATAATTAATTGTTTTTCATAACGCCCTCTGAATTATGATTTATTATTTATTTCTGATAATTGACTATTATTGTTGCTTAGATGTTGGAAAATTGACTAACGGTAAAATATTCGATCAAAATAAGAATTTTGAATGCAAAATAGGTGTTGGTCAATTAATCGCAGGTTAGTAATGATAAATAGATTTTTACTATTATTTGTTATGTTGTTTGTTTTATTATTAAATAAATTTTTATTATTATTAGGTTGGGATGAAGGTATATATCGACATTACGTACATATAAATAATTTTAATTAAAGATATATATAAATATATTTAATATTTGAATTCTTTAGGAATTCCTCGATTAAGAGTTGGAGAAAAGGCTATATTGACAATCTCTCCTGATTATGGATACAAGGAAGCCGGTGTTCCTGGACGTGTATGTAGATTTAAATAAATTAATTTACTTGTTGATTTTGACAATATTATATATTTCCCGGTTTGTTTAATAATATTATTAATACATATTAATATTAATATTTAATCAAAATTAGATTCCGGGAAATTCAACTTTGATTTTGTAAGTAGATTGCGTACTTTAATAATTTCATTAATGATTTTGAATTAATATTAATTTTAAAAATTTTTTATTTAATAGCGAAGTTACATTGAAAGAGATTAAAAAATATTAATTCGATTTAAAAATTTTTTTTGAATCTCATTATTATTTAATGGCGTCAGAATAATAATAAAAAATATTAATATCCACATTCTTACATACATGGTAATTTGTTAGTTATATGAGTCCAAGTTTTTTCGATCATCTTGAATCATTTTCTTGTACGTCATGTATTGATGATGACTTGGCAGCTTTTGTCGCCATCGTTACCATTTCCCAGCCATCAAAGCTGAGTCCAATAATTTTCAAGAACTTTAGAATAAAAAAAAGCTTGCCATTAACATTGTATATAATATTTATTTTCAGGAAGTACCATCGGCGAATATTGGATGCTTTCCTTCAAAATTACATTACTTATTCATATTAAAAGAAAGACATGAATATTTCATATCGATATCTGTACTCTTATTCAACAAAGAAGTAGAGGGCTAAATTATTTACAAAAAAAAACCCGTATAATAATATAATTTATCGCTAAAACATATCTCAAAAGTTGATTGGTGGAACCCAAAATATATTAGCACCACCCAGAAATCATCTCTTTCTTCCTTTGCGTCTTTCAGCCTCCATGGTTTTTGTAATAATGGAAATGCAAAATTTTTCACTATTTATACTTGATTATGATCAATAATCCATCAGTCAATTACCATGAACGAAACCAATTAAATTTTTTTGAAATCCCATTATTACTTGGCAATATTTAAAAACTACACAAACAATGATCATTATTCCTGTTTTAGGAAGCTAGGAATAATCGAATCTTAGTAATTTTTGTCAAAAAAACCCTCATACAGTTATCGTGACAACTTAAGTTGCTTGTATATATTAAGAAAAAGTGAGATATAGCCGCTCTCACTCACAATAGACTCTACAAATCTTTTAGTTAAATAACGAGGCATTATAAGTTAATGGATTTTCTACTTTGTGAATTCTAGTTTACTGTTTGGATTGTGTGCAAAAATACTTCTTACATGTTGTTAATCTGCAAACACAAACCACACCTGATCCTAAATCTCAATTAAAAAAAATCTACTAGCTTTGAAAAATGCTGTCCAAGTGATTCAGCTAATTCAAAATTAAAGGTCATTTAACAAATAAAGAGCTTCCCGATAAGAAAAATTACCATAACCAGAAAAAATATTTCATACGAATTCTAACTACATCCACCGACATTCGTTGTGTTTTTTTTAAGGCAATAATCTTTTTCTTGTAAATTTTTGCTTTTTTTTGGAGCATCCATTTTATATGTATATATATTATTGATTTGGTATCAGCTAAACCATAATAATAAACATAAAAAAAAAAACTATCGTCATCGTCATCTCCCCAACTACTTCCACTGCTTGCTTTATGAAACCATCACCACGACTACCACCACAACTAACTTGTTTACAAAAATCCAAGTTAAAAATAAAAAAATAATTGCTCTTTTGAGAATCAGAAACCTATACCATTTGTTCTACTGTTCGATAGTATTTAGAACAAAAGAAAGAAAAACTGGCGAATTTTTTTCAGAATAAGAAGCTAAAAAGATTCAAGGAAAAATCTTACTTATAAAACTGTTACCAGAAAAAACTCTGGCCATGAAATGTATAAATTTGAAATTTTTTATTAAAACAATAATATGTAAATATATTCTACAACAGAATAAACCAACATCAGAAGTTGAAAGATAACAACGATTTCTGAGCTGAGAAAGAAAATCATAATCTTGGAAAAATAATTAAGGAACTATATAGAAGAAATCAGAATCAATTTACATTTTTAAAGAAAATGTTTATAAATACATAAAAATTATATATAAAACCAAAAAATAATATACAATAAAAATTAATTAATTAATTCTACTAATCAACTGCCTCCTAATTTCTATTTCGTAATTTTACACCAACTTCGTATTTTTTGGTGGTTAAAGAAGGTGTAATAAAGTGACTTATATCTAAATCCTGGTTTGGGATTAATTCAAATTCGAAATTTAGTAATAAACTTGCCAAAATTAACCTTAATTCCATCCAAGCAAATGTTTGACCTATGCAATTTCTTGTTCCTGCTGAAAATGGATAATATCCTTTTTGAAATGGTGATGCAAAATCGGATTTTTTTGAATCAGAAATTGTTGTCTTTGGTTTAATTCCAAACTCGGGTTCTAAAATATAACCATTTTTATTATTATCAACTCCACTAAAGATCCATCTTTCAGGTACAAAATCGTCAGCATCAACACCCCATATGTCTTTCGCTCTATGTACTTGATATATCGAAGCACTGACTATTGTATCTTTGGGTATTAAATATCCATCAATTATAGTATCTTGACGTGTTTGTCTCATAATACCAGCTAACGCTACAGGAAACAATCTCAATACCTCATTCAACACTGAATTAAGATAGATGAGGTTTTTTAAAGAATCATGTGTTGGAGTTATCAATAAGCCATTTGGTTTTGATTGTTGTTTTCTGCCTTCGCCATCATCGTCATTTTCTTCCGACGGGTAGATTGAATCAAGTTCTGAAACCAATTTTCTTAATTTCTCAGGATGATTTAATAATACTATGAGTGCCATGTTTGCCGTATAACCACTAGTATCACTACCACCTATTAAGAATTCCATGGTTTGATCTTGTATTTCAAGTTCTGACAATGGATTTCCTGTTTCGTTGTCACGCATGTCGATCAAAATTTGTAATAAGTCATCACGTTTTCCCCCCTTGGCATTCAATTCTTTTCTTTCTTTGATGATATTTGAAATAAACTGAAAATTTAAATTTTTTTTTACCTTTTTAGTATGTAAAAATAAAAAACTTAAATAAACAAAAAAGATTTTATATATGTTTACAAACCTCATAAGTCCAAGGATCTTTTTTTAAAAATGGTCTCATGTAAGGAAAAGTATGACACATTACACGTCTTTTTAATTCTAAATATATTTTCATCGGTAGCGGATGCATACCTTTCTCAACCAAATGAAACGATTCACCAAATGCTACTTCCCCGATAATATCCAAAGTACAGGCTTGTATTAATCCATAAATATTAATTATAGAATTTGTAGCGTTGGAATTTTCATTGGTGGTGGTGGTGGCGGTTGTTTTAATTATTGAACTGATTTTTTCTACTAATGATTTTGTGCAAGAGTTCATTAATGGCTCGAGTGTTGATATGTATCTAATGCCAAATGCTGGCGATAATGAACGTCTCTATAATAAATTAAATTAAACCGGATTATTATTATTATTATTTCAAGCCATAATATAATATAATATTATTCTAATTATTTTTAAATTGCTTACACGTTTTTTATGGAAAGTTTTGTTACTATATATAAAAATTTTAATTAATTAATTTTAGTTACTTGTAAATATAAAAAGAATATTTAAATAAATATTTACATTGCGGAAAATAATGTTGAAATATTTTGCTCGTTTCTAATCCCTCTAAGAGAATCACTTTTTGTAAGATCCTATTGATTAATATATATACAGATAACCATGTTAGAAAGAAGCAAAAATTTTTTTTTTGCCGTATTAAAAAAAAGCATGCTTACATCGACGACAAGGATTTTTCTAATAGCTTCTTTGCTAGAAAACAAAACATGATTTGGCGCGACTCTAACAGCACCCCCGTACTCTTGATGTAATTCCCAAAACCATTTATAAACCTTGCCATGCGGTCTTCTCAAAATAATTGGCAAGTTGGAAATTTTGGCAAATTTTGGTCCAGGTATTTTGCATAAAGGCGTAAATGAATAATTGTAAACGAAATTGTAAATTGTTTTGAGGGCCAAGAAAAATAACAAGTAGTATATTAATTGTAAAAAAATTTGTAATGTTTCTAGTTTTCCTAATACCAAGGAAGATAAAGGAGAAAATGGTAATAATAATAATAAATTGTTCATGTTGATGTTTTTGAAGTTTTTGAAGGGAAATTTAAAAATAAGTTTAAGAAAAAGCAAATTGTCAAAAGGTAAAAAAAAAATTCAATTTTATTTATAAACTTATTATTCGAATGAAAATATTTACGCGTAGAATTATTAAAAAAGCATCAATACATACAATGATAAAAATGATGGATGTTTGGTAGTGAATTAAATTAATTGATTACTTGTGCTTTAATTTGTTATTTATTTAGTTATCACATTCATCCAATAATACCACTCAATCACACCATAGTAAGTAATATATAGCTATTTTCTTTATTATATATACAAATTGTTAATATAAATGTGGTTTGATCAACTTAAATATACACTTTTTAAAACTAAAATTGTTCAATAAAAAAAAACTTTCTTGTTTTAATAATCGGTGTATTCAAATAAAAATCCGATTCCAAAAACAAAAATTGCCATTGAATAGTTTCGGGAATTATAATCACTTGCGTACATAATATCAATAAAAAAAGTAATTAATTGCTGTTACAATGAATGTTTATTTTCATTGATTGTTTATTAAGTAAATCAATAAGATTTTATTTTATTTTGAGAAATTCACAAACTCGAGCAAGTAAAGGAGGAGACATAAGATTTGTAATAATAATAATCATAATAAATAATAAATATAAGTTACGGCCGAACTAAATTTTTTTTTTTAAGTTAAAAAAACCTTGGTGAATTTGATGATTTTCAGTTATTTTCATCGTTTGGTTTAGGTGAATCAAATAAGGAAAATAAAATGATCCTATCTATCCAAATTTGGTATCTTTTTATAATTAGTTTATATTAAAAGTTATATATGGATAATTACTTTTTCATTTCATTTGTATTACAATTATTGTAAATCTATATATAAATATTGTCTAAACCTCTACCTATAAATAGTAAAGCCTTTAATGTAGCAAATCAATTCATGAAGTGGAACATTAGCACATTGCAAATCAAATGTCAAGACAAAACTTTATTATTAAAACTGGCTTTCTAATGATTGCTATTCAAAAGTTTTCATTACATTTTTACTTCAAACCAAGACTTCTTTTTTGAAAAATAATTTAAGCTTTCATATGGATGGGTATTACTTTATGTAGTTGTGGCGGAGACATCGGTCTTTTTACCCAAAATAGAAAACTTGAGATTTTCTTCCATTTTTATTAATAACCATGATTTTTCTAGGTGTATGAAGTATATTATGTTTCGAATTGAAGTTTTGACCCCTTGAAAGTGACAAATGTCCTGCGACTATATTCACAGCTCACAAGGCTTATAATTTACTCTATTACAAGAAAATCTTTCTTATTCTATATAATATATTTTTTTTTCTTTGAAAGGTTTAACTTAAAATATAAGTGTCTCAAATATAATGAATGGCACACTAAAAGCGGGGGTGGAATGAGAATACGATTGTAATGACAATGGTGACATAAGAATAAAATTATTCTCTCGTGCATATTAATATACTTAATATATTTAATAATAATAATAAAACCAACTTTCGCCATGCTCTTGTGACCCATCGCGTGACACTAATAAAAATTATTGATATTAACTACAACAACAACAATAATAACAATAGAATAATTTCCTTGCTTAAATATCCATTAATTAATAAAATTTAAACAGTATACCTTATTCAAAATAAGCAGTATTAATTAGTATATCTTTAAACTCAATTTGAATTCGTTCAAGTAAAATAACTATATTTAATTTTTGAAAAAAAAAAAAAAAAAAAATTCGCGACGGTTAATGGCTTTTCTTTTAATTAAACCATAATTATAATAGTTACGCGTCTTCAACACACACGCCAATCATTTTTATTATTATCCATCATTAATTAAGAGTTTTTCGTGACATCTTTATTTTTTTGATCAGATTTAAGCGTGTCACTCACATTCACTCATTCACTTGCAAAAGATAACAATGGAAATAATTCGGCCGAGTTTTTTGTTAAGAACAATAACAATTAGTATGCATGTATTACCTGATCTGATACGCAATGCAAAAGATTAAAATAATCTCTTGATATTTACTTTTTTTGATATTATTCGGCCGAAAATTTCTTCTATTATTAGCTTTTATCTTTAGATGTACAAAAAATTGTACCAATACATATATATATTTCGGCCGAACTTTGTATTTTTGTTTTCTTTTCTTCTATTATTATTACTATTATTATCATCCAGTTCAGCCGGAAAAAAATGATATTCATAACAATGCTAGTAGAGTTCAATTTATATAAAATACATGCATGAAAAAATTTTCAGACAGGTCAAGCCACAACATAGTAATAGTGGCTGCTGATAGGCAAGAAAGAAAGATGGATGAAGTGAAAATCATTCAACAATAGCAATAAATAAATAAACTTAAAATTAAATTTTTATTTACTAGCTTTTATACGATATCATTACCCTTCAATGAATTAATTATATGTAACAATCTCTTTGCTTCCTCTTTTGCCTATAATAATAAATAAAACAATCAAAACGATAAATAAAGCAACCAAAAAGAGGAGTGTGTAAAAATCAAACATATCATTAACAAACTTACTGTTCCGCCATATTCCAATAAGTTACGTGCATGATGTGTTGCAGCTAGTAAATTTCCTTTATCTTTTTGATAAAAAGATAAAAATGTATGTGCACATTTAATATCTTCTGTATCTATGGCCAACTAATAACATATATACACACACACACACACATAAAACAGTATAAATAAAAAATAATATAATAATAAACGCAAAAACAGTACACACACACACATATATATATATTATAATAAAAGACTTACATCAGATCTAACTAATATTGAAGTATGAAATTCAGCAGCTTTATCAGGATCAATCTTTTCATATAATTTTGCCAATCTTGTAGTGGCAGTAGTAGCAGAATTAACATCGATATCTGTGACTGAAAGTGCCCTATTAAAAGCTTTTATTGCTTCAGGATAAAGTCGTTGTTGCTCATATATTGAACCTAATCTTATCCACATTCTAGCATCATTTGGTCTATCAAAAGAAAAACAATATTGTTATAATTATTAATGTAATCAAGTAAGTTAATTAATGTATTAACAAGTCACACTATATATTTTACCTTAAAGCACTAGATCTTTTATAATAATAAATTGCATAAAAAGGCATTTTTAACATCTCGTATGTTTGGCCTATTCCAACCCATGCTCTATAATCTCTAGGGTTCACTTCTAAAAAGTATATATTTATATATTATTATTTTTAATAACAATAAATTTATTAAATTCATTAAATAAAATATTGCTTGCCCAATGCCCTTTTGTAAGAAAGAACTGCTGCATGAGTATTTTTTAATTCAACAAACTCATGCCCCATCAATGTCCAAGCTGCTGTACAGGATCTATCAATTTGTAAAGCTCTTCGAAAATATGAAATAGCCTTTTCTCTCTCAGATTTAGAACTATAATAATTTCCTTGATTAAAACAAAAAAATAAATTAAAACAAAAATAAATTTTACAAATAGATAAAAATTTTAATATAATAATTTACCTATAACACACATAGTTTCAGCTCTGAATTTATCAGTTGATGATGTTATATGTGCTAGAAAACTTAATTTTGCAGATTTTCCTTCCATCACATACAATATATTTGAATATAAATCCATTTGATCAATTCTAAATGGATCTTTGTTTAAAAGATTACTAAAAATTTCCTCTGCTTCAACATAGTCTAAAGTAATGATAATGATTTTATTATTTTATTATTTTAATTATGTGTTATTGATTTTAATTTTAATTACCTCCAGCATTATATAACAAAACTGCCTTTTCTGTTTGTAAATAATTATTATTTGCAAAAGGTTTTGGAAATTCTGATATTAGATCATTTAGTGATTGTGGTTTCTCTAATAAGTCTACACACATATGAACTCTAAAAAATCGAGTCATAAAAGTGTTGGGTAATTTAGATAGAATATTATTAAGCTAAATAATGCAATAATAAATTATTTTCATTAATTTCATTTTTTTGAAAAAGAAATATATATTAATTATTTTTAAATAAATACCATGTCTTGATTTGATATACAAGATGCCAATTCTAGCCATGCACTCCAATTATAATGGTATTTACAAATAGATTCTATGAATATATCTATAATATTCTCTGATTGTGGATTTAGTTGTTTTAAAAGCAATCCATAACTAATTGAAAATATTTGATTATTTTACAAAGTAATCTTAAACAACAATAAATTATTATTATTCAAACAAATTATTTTTTTTCCATATAAATAATCTAAATAATCTATAAATCAACCCACAGATACGTTAGAAATCCATCTAATCCTCCCTCTTCATGCCATGATTCTATTTCTTCCCAAAGTTTTAAAATTTCTTTATTCATAACTTTTGAATCATCCAAAGGTCCTATAAAATTTTCAAAATTAAATGTTAATATTAAAAATAAATATATCCAAATAACCATATTATACAAACCCATAATGTCATTACTTTCTTCCGTTTTTCTTTTTTCGCCAGCCTAAACAATTTACCAAAGTTCTGACATTAAGTATTAAACTAAACATTTTGCAAAGAATTCTTCACTATTTTTGCCCTTCTCCCCACTACATACGCACACATTTTCAAATTAAAAAATCAATTAAATATTACTACCATGTATTTTGAATATATTTTAAGAAATCGGCATTTTGATGATTTACATTCTTCCAAAAAATAAGCTGCTCTATCAAATTCTTTAACATCGAAATAACTTTTTCCAAGAAGATATAAATCATATTCTAATTGATCTATTTTTGTCATTTCAAGATTTTGTTGAGGAGTAAATTTATCTTGTGAATTATCCATACTACTTGAACCATCAGATTGTATAAAATCACTTGTATCCATCGTTGATAATGTTTCAGCAGCCCTATAATAATATTTATAAATAAATTATCAATAATGTTTTTTTCATTTTTATAAAAAAAAAAGAGACAAACTATTAAAAAGGTTTAATTGTACCATTTTGCAGAAAAATAAAGTCCTCTTTCGGAACATTGTATAATAGATTCACGAAGTAATTGTTTAATTTCAGTTGAGGTAAGAGATTCGTCTTTTGCAAGAATATTTTGCATTTTTGAAGGTGTTGATGAATTAGTAAGTTTTAAAGATAGAAGAAGTGAGTCAATGTTCATTATTATTATTATAGTGATTATTGTTCTTTATTTTCCCAAAATTATACATATATATACACGCACATATATATATATATATAAAACTATATATGAATTAATTCAAGCTTGTTTTTTTTTATATAGGAGATGGTGTGTAGTCACGTGATAACATTTGGCAAAACACAAGTTGTTGAAAATCTTTCATCTAAAGACGCCAATATCTGCGCCATATTCTTGTCAGAATAAAAAAATATAAAAAAATAATTCATTATCTACAAACTCGGATATTCGTCTATTACTACTATGATACTTATAAAGACAAAAAACTTGAATTAAAATATTATTTTATTTTAATCAGCTTCATTTTTAAAAATGCAACACTTGATTCAATTCTATATACTATATTTGGTCATTCTTTCTATTCTTTCTGCATATGGATAGAATAGACCCCACAGAATCTTATATTAAAAAATCAAAGCATCCTCGGTGTTCCTTGAAAACATTTATATATTGGACATAGAGATTTGTATAGTCAGAAATATCAAACACTGTTAATTATTTTGACTAAAATTATGATTCTTTACTCTCTCTTAAAACTCCAAACGAGCCGAGTCGGGCCGAGTTTATGCTTAGCTCAAGTCAGACCCGAGCTTGAATATAAAAAAGTGCTGGCTCGAACTCGGCTCGAGCTCGAGCCAACTCGAAATTTAATATATATTATTTTTTTTATAAAATCACGATTTTGCAGACCAGAAAATAATTGAAGCAATAATAAACTAATTTGAATCATCATAAATAATTTTATGACAGACTAAAAAATTCCAAAAATTTCAAGTGAGAACAATTTTTTTTAGGTACTAGAATATATGCATTATACTAAAATTACTGCACTAATCACGGTTCAATGAATTTTGTGTTTTAATAATTCATAGTAACGCGAATTTAATTATAATTCGTTGAAACGGCTTATAAAATTTCACAATGTTTGTTCAGATATTTGTAGAGAATTAAAACGAAATGCAACCTGTTTAACAAATCTTTATTATGAGCTAGAGTTCCTATTCGTAATACAACTCAATTAATTCGAATTATTAGTTTTATTAGTTTATTTTATTCATTTATCCGTTTATTTGAATTATTCATTTTATTTTATTCGAATTATTCGATTCATTCAAATCATTCATTTTATTCGTTTATTCGAATCGTTCGAATCGTTCGTTTATTCGGTTTATTCGAATCGTTCGAATCGTTCGTTTATTCGGTTTATTCGAATCATTCGAATCGTCCGTTTATTCGGTTTATTCGAATCGTTCGAATCGTCCGTTTTATTCGTTTATTCGAATCGTTCGAATCGTCCGTTTTATTCGTTTATTCCTTAAGTTGAGCAGATTCGAGTTAAAACTTGAATTTTCAAGTTTGAGCTGAGTTCAAGAAAATAGGCTCTTAAGTTGTTTTTCAGATAATGTGCATAAATAAAATTAATCATTCGTTACTTAAAAAAATTTATGTGGCGTCGGACTCGAGCCTACTATTTCTTGGCTCGGCTCGTTCGAAGCTTTACTCATCTTTACAGATGGTATGCAATAATGAGACATTCTTTACAAACAGTACATAATAGTAAAACATTCAAAAGTGTTTACAAACACACAATGATGAAACATTCAAATGTATTCTTTATAAATAGTATGTAATGATGAAACATTAATAAAAAAGAAAAGAAATTTTTATTTATTTTTTTAATGTTTTGTCAAATGCTCATCATCATTATTAAAGACTTTTCATTAATACATTCAGGTTGTTCATTATTACTACTTACTTCTTCATTGTTTTAATCATGATTACTGTTTGTGCTGGATATTTGCTGCATACCTTGTAATCCATTTGCAATTGTTGATACTTCAGGAATATCCTCAACTTTAATTTTACCTTCATCAGCTAAAATCTAAAGTTGACTTACCATTTCCTTTGCTGTCATTTAATCAGTTTTATTAACATTGCCTGCTAAGAAAGTATCATTCAAGGTAAGATTTCACTTTCTTTTTCATATGCTTTCCTCTTTCTCTTATTCCATATTTTTGTTTGTTTTTTTAATGCCCATCCATCCTTTTTCCAATTCAAGTGATTCGTTGATATCTATTTAAAACCATAGAAACAAGAATTTTATTTTATTGGACAAAATCATGTAAAAAGTCTTGTTGCTTGTAATACTTTCAAGAAGTATATATATGTTTGAAATCTCTTCTCCAGTGAAAAAGAAATTAATAATTCTTTCAATAAAATGATATCCTAATACTTTAATTGATTCATAACCTTTCTAATAATTAATGGCTTGGCCAACATTTAATTATTAGTTAGGAATCCCTTTTAGTTTTACTATATTTCTTGTAGGGATGTCTCAAGTAGTGTAGTTGTATATGGTGGTTTGAACATTGGCTGTGTGCCAGATTTAGTGACTCTGTAGTAGAGTAGATTTTCTATTCGTAATATTCGAATTATTCGTTTATTCAAGTTATTTGTTTTGTTCGAATTATTCTTTTGTTCGGATTATTATTATTCGTTTTATTCGAACTATTAGTTTATGAATTATCTGTTTATTTGTACTATTCAAATTATTCATTTATTCGAATTATTTCATTTATTCGTTTTATCCAAACCATTCATTATTCATTTGTAATTCGAATACTCAAATTCATAACGAGTAAAACAAACAATTCAAATGAACCTTATTCGAATAGAAACCTCTAATCAAGCAGTGTAGTTTAGTGATTTTAGTTTAGTTTTCCAGATTCGGTGACTCCATAATAAATAACTCAGATTGCACGCTTGCAATATTTATATGCTGTAAATAATTATGGCATTACAGTCTATGACTTTACGACATTAGAATGCCATGCAGAATTTATTTTTATAATGCTGAATTGTAATTCGGGTAAATTTTAATTTTTTTTAACGAATGTTAGAAAAACCTAAATTTTAATATATTTTGTGTTGTGATATATATACATAAAAAAATTTTTTTTTTGCAAATTATACAAATATAATAATAAAAAACCACAAATAATTTTTAAAGATGGAAAGCAATTTGGATGAAAATAAACATCATGACAATACTTCTACTGACGAAAATGAAGATAAATATTCTGATGCAAGGGGATGAAAAGTATGAGAAATGTTCAACCTGCAGTAGATATAATACTTATTGGGCATGGTGTCAATCATGTGATCCAAAGTTATTAACTGAAGGATGGACTAGTGGCAATGAAACATTAGATGAGTTGATTAAAAATACACAAGTTGAAACAAGATATTATTATAATGATTTTTATTTTCCTCTCTAAAATGTGTGACACAAAGAGTCTACTGAATTCCTAAAACATTTTAAGAGGTCTGATAGATACTTTGGTTTTTGTGTTTTAACAGGTAGTTCAATGTTTTCAAACAAAAAAAATTACATTATCGGTTTTTTTATAATCATATAATATCCCATTAACTTTTCTTGCCAATTCTCCAGTACCACATGTTAATTTTCTTTTCCATTTTAATGACACTACATCATTTCCATTCCTATCCAAATAAGAATAATTAGATTAATAAATTTTACATAATTTCCATTTGTTATTTCCATTTGACTTATCAACTTGATATAAATACACCAGGGAAATATAATTTTAATAGTTCAAGATCTGTTGATATTATTGTAGAGGTGTAGGTATTTCATCCATATCTTTATCTAACTGAACACCAAAACCTGCTTGTAATTGCATCAATTTGGTCTTGATTATTTCTTTTATTAACCCAATATCAAACCCATTGAATAAATTTGTTTCTTTTATTTTATAAAGGTGTCATTTATTTTTCTCTAAAAAAGAAGGAAGACGGTAAAATCATATGAACTAATTAAAAAAATAATAATAATAAGTTTTGCTTACTCCAAGACTACATTTAATTCAATCGTTTATTCTGTTTATATTAATTGTTTTAAATGAATTCGTTTTTAAACAATTCTTGATTTATAATATGACATTTTTCTTCACTAATATTTATGATATTTGCCTCAGGAAGCCTATTTTGAATAAAATTTTTAGTTAAAAATTACAGATTTTTGCAATCAATCATTAATATAATCTTTGAGCCGACCTACCTTTAAATTGTTTATCTGTTAACCCATCAGCTTCGACTCCATTAGAAAACATAACTTGAGATATGCTTCTGAACATATTCCGAATTAAAAATTCCAAAGTTAGTGAGCTGACTGGTTTAAAAGGAATAAATCTATGATTTGCCCCAGATAAAGACACTACCATAAAAAGCACTTTTTGTGATTCAAATCATAACCTAAATGAAAAAAATTTATATATGTTGTATGTGAAAATCGAAATTTAAAATTTTGGGGTGGGGTGTTTGGATATGAAGTTTTGATTGGCTAATTTGAATTTCACATGTGTGAATTGCAAATTCACGTAGATTTCAATGGTGATGATGATGTTCTAAAGAACGCACACAAATACAAAGAATTTTAAATTAATTACCCTATTTTTTTTTAATATTGGGTGTAGGATCTGCTTTAATCTATTAAAAAAAAAGCCCGAAAATAATTAATTTCATTACTGCAAGATAGATATCTCAAGGTTGCAAACACGTATTTATAATTGAATCAATACCTTTTTAGTTCTCAAATTATAATTATTGATAGCTTCTCCATTATCAACTCTAATAAATATACAATCATTAATTAAAATTAGAATGGCAATGAGTTACAATGATCACAACCATTGCCATCATTCTTTTAATAATAACTAGAATGATGACATGTTTCAGTATTGCAACACTTTATAAATTTCGTAATTTTTTGAAAGAAAGTATTTTAATAACAAGCTTATAACTGAGAACGCAATGTGAGCTTTTTGTGTCACAAAACACACATACCATGCTATGCGAGAATAAAAATTCAATTAAGTTGGGTTTTGCGTCTTCTGCAAAAAAATAACATCACTCGGGCCAAGACAATAGTCTATTTTATTAAATTCGAAACATATAAATAGGACAGCCATCCAAAAAATTTTTTTTTGTTATTTTTTCGTAGAGAAATTCCTCTAGGCCATTTCAGCGCACGGAACTCAACCTTCTACATTCGGCCACATAAAATAATTGTTGTTATTCATAAAATTTTAACCCACGCAATTGTTGATTGATTGACCAATTAAAATCGTGAATTTAAAAATAAAACATTTAATGTGGG